ATGAATTCAATTCTTCTGAATTTTGTATTACGTTCGAAACTTTGATTCATATGGTTTTGGTTAAAGCAAACAATATTTTTATAAAAAATAAAAATAATAAAAATTTTAACTTAAAATGCATTGCAAATATTTGATTCGCTGCATGTACATACATATGTATATACTTATTTAATTAAACTTAAGGTTATAATTCAGTTCATTCTTTTTTGTTTGTTGTATAAATATATGTTTATGGAAATAAAACTTAATGTTAAGTATTTTAGTTAGACTTTAGTCTGATGTAGTTTCTGTGGTAGCTTCAGTTGCTGCTTCTGTTGTAGCTTCAGATGCTGCTTCTGTTGTCGCTTCAGTTTCAGGTCCTGAGCGTTTCCTCTTCAGGCAAGAGGCCTTGTGATGGCGGTTTTTGACCGATTTAAATGCGCAACGCAATTCCAGCAGGCAATCGTTTTCAGTAACGCCAAGCTTTTGAGCCGCTTCTGTCGGATAAATATTTAAAATAAATTGAATCGTTGGTAGGAGAAATGTAACTATATATGTATCTATATATTGAAAGCAATTTACAAAGCACATGCAGTGGCTCAAACAAATGAACACGTGTTGAACGGGTTTGAAACTTGCACTTCATTAGAGTAAAATTGTATGGGCTATAAAACTGCCTACCCAAAAATGTTCTTAAGATTTAAATTAAAAAGTTGAAGTTTTGATGAAAATTTGTTGAATTTTCTTATATTTTCAATTAAATTAAGTTTGAAATTGTGGTTTATATGGTTTTGGTTAAAGCTTGGACGGTAAATTTTTAAAAAAGAATAACAAAAAAAAATAGCTCGAAAAACATTACGAATATTTAAACAATCAACACTTGGTCATTTGTTTGATTCACTGTATGTATGTACTTACGAATAAAGACATTCATAAGCTTCGTATAACGGAGCAGCGGGGTCTTGCCTTGTTTACCATCAATGTTGTGGTCCATTATAACGTTTACGCTAAAAATCGACAGCAAGTTTGATTTAAAGCCGCCATTCTTAATAACGCGAAAAACGGTTGCAACCTGTTAAAAGTGATAACAAAATTTATGAATATTTTTTATTAGATAAATTTATAAATATACATACATACATACTTATGCANCCGCCATTCTTAATAACGTGAAAAACGGTTGCAACCTGTTAAAAGTGATAACAAAATTTATGAATATTTTTTATTAGATAAATTTATAAATATACATACATACATACTTATGCATGTATATACACATCGTCGCCAATGCTAAACTAACGAATGTGAATAAATTATTTCATGTCCGATACTTTCAAATTGATTTTTCTATCAGAAAACCCGTGGAATTTCTCGCTTATTAAAGAAATGATTTCTTCCGCATCGGTTAGTTCGACAATGTGGCGACGATATATAGTAGGTATATATCTTTTTATTAAGAAAAAAAATTATAAAGATAAAAGTGCTTACCATTTGGGTTTCATTTTCGGTGCTTGTATGGGATTCAATGCTATCCAGTTCTTCCTGTGTTTTTATGGGAAACAGTGATACAAATTTCGGTACAGGGTATAAGGGCAACCCGTCTATTCCTACATCAAGTCGCACTTCCTCTAATCCTTCCTCAATAATTTCCTCTATTACTTTTTCTAATTGTTTCCCTATTCCAATATGGACGTATTGCCCTGGTGGCACGGTCCGTATTNTATTTTTAATGCATTCCAAATTTGTTTCGTATAAGCCTGCAAAAGTAAATGTTCATTTTTATTTATACATACACCGGCGTTCAAATAATTAGCACCGAAATTCAAAATGATATTGTGTACAACTTGTTCATTTATTTATTTAAATTTATTGCTTAAAATTCAGAAAATGTTTCGAAATTTTAAGCAAAATTTCACTTTTTTTAGAAAAGTTGCAAATTTACAATTTACTGGCTCATATTATACAATGAACTCTATTTTTATAAAAGATGAACGAAAAAGTGCTTTTATGACAAATATTTTAATTATTTAAAAAATCTCTACGGAAAATTTTTCTAGTGAGTGTATTTATTTCGAGTGTTATAATTTCAAAATAGTACCTCTCATTGCATTTATTTCCGAATTGAAACTGTCTGCTGCGGCATTCTTCCCCAACGCAATAACTTTTAACTCTTCTACTTCTCCTTTTAGTTCCATTATAATGCCTGAAAGTTTTTCTTTTATTATTTTATAGATCAATATTTTATTTGTCATACGATCGTGGCCACGCAAACCTTACCACCGCTTTTTTTAAATTTCCTAGAATTTTGTGNTGTCATACGCTCGTGGCCACGCAAACCTTACCACCACTTTTTTTAAATTTCCTAGTTTTTTGTAAATTAATAAAAAAAAATATTATTTTTTTAAATACAGTTCAAACCGCAACAAAAACATAAAAGTTTCAAACTTTTGTGGAAAATTTTGAAAAATTCAAATTCAAATTGACACCTGGCTTGGTGTGGCGTGGCTACGAGTATTTTCTTTATTTTGCTAGCTCGAATTTTTGCCATTGTTAGAAATTCATGAAACTGTTAAGTAAAAAAAAAATAATAATGTTAGTAATTGTCTACGGAAGAATTAGTTAGTTAAATTAAATATACTTCAGCTCCAANATTCATGAAACTGTTAAGTAAAAAAAAAATAATGATAGTAATTGTCTACGGAAGAATTAGTTAGTTAAATTAAATATACTTCAGCTCCAAAATGTATTCCAAATTGTTTGAAGTAACATAGTATATGTAGATATGTGTATAGTAACCATAAAATACTACCTTTTAATTCGTGAATTTCTTTTTTTAATTTTTTTATCTCGGCCATTTTTTATTATTTTTTATATACACGTACTTTTATTAAATTTTTTTTTTTATATACAACTGTGTACTAGCGGCAACAAAACGATACTGTCTTTGTATGGTAAAGATACTAGCTTGTAAGAGATTTCATTTAGATTGAACAATATTTCCGGGCCAAGTCGCATAGAGCTTACAACACCAATCCCGAGACTCAAGGAAGAAGCAGGTNTAAAGAAGTAACACTGGTGGGCACACAGAGGTTATCGTATTTTAAAATTTTTAGAAGACTGGAGGCACATCTATAGGAGGGCCTAAATTCTAAAAACCAGTCCGCCAATTTTTTCTTAAGTGGCGCTTGACTGGTTGTCACAACACTGTCTCCAATAACACGCTCAGCATTAATGTTTCCCTTTACTAATGCTCTGTTGCCGCTATTTGGTTCAACACTCTCACTACACAAACTTTCATTAAATTTTAAGTCAATTTTCTTTCTTTTATCTTTAGTTAAACGCTTCAAATGCCGCTTGCTTAGCATTTTATTTTTATCACTGACCTTTTTACACTTCTTCACTTACGTAATTCACTTTATTGACTGACTTCAACTTCGCTGTAAATTGAACAACGCAAAACATGATTTTTATGCGAGACAAATTTCCACAGAAAGCAACGGTATAAAAAGAATGTTTGGATATTCATTATATTTTTCCGCTGACTACGATGCATTCTACTTTGCATTCCCCGAAATGGAGCAGAGAAGTGAAATAAAAAAAAATATTGTGGGACATTCTACTTTGCATTCCCTGAAATGAAGCAAAGAAACTAAATAAATAAAATATTGTAGGACATTCTACTTTGCATCCCCCAAAATGAAGCAAAGAAGCGAATTAAAAAAAAAATATTGTAGGACATTCTACTTTGCATTCCCTGAAATGAAGCAAAGAAGTGAAATAAATAAAATATTGTAGGACATTCTACTTTGCATTCCCTGAAATGAATCAAAGAAGCGAATTAAAAAAAAATATTGTAGGACATTCTACTTTGCATTCCCTGAAATGAAGCAAAGAAGTGAAATAAATAAAATATTGTAGGACATTCTACTTTGCATTCCCTGAAATGAATCAAAGAAGCGAATTAAAAAAAAATATTGTAGGACATTCTACTTTGCATTCCCTGAAATGAAGCAAAGAAGTGAAATAAATAAAATATTGTAGGACATTCTACTTTGCATTCCCTGAAATGAATCAAAGAAGCGAATTAAAAAAAAATATTGTAGGACATTCTACTTTGCATTCCCCGCAATGAAGCAATGAAGCGAATTAAAAAAAAATATTGTAGGACATACTACTCTGCATTACCGGCAATGCCTAAAAGTAGCGAAAAAATTCGAAGGCATTATAACGCTATGCATTCTAGAACACGTTACCACTAAAAGCGATTACCGATTTTTTGCTGGGTATGTATGTATATGTGCATCGCTCATTTACTAGAAATCATAATACAAAAAAAGCAAAAAATCGAGCTAAGAGGGTACTATTCCAGTTCTGCGTTATCGTGAGATAAAAATAACACCTTTACACCGCATTTATGTCGGNATAATACAAAAAAAGCAAAAAATCGAGCTAAGAGGGTACTATTCCAGTTCTGCGTTATCGTGAGATAACAATAACACCTTTACACCGCATTTATGTCGGTGTTAATTTTATACTTTTCACTTTACTTCGCGATAACGCAGAACGGGAATTGACCCTCAGAAGTCATTAGAACAAGATGTGTATTAATTCTTCTTCCCCTGGGAGTATATGTAAATTCAAAACTTTGATGCCGCTTTTCTCGAGTTTTTAGTTTTTTGAGTTATGACAGTATTGAAGTAATGGAGTTATATGTACATTAGACTGCATCACTCCCCATACATCAAAAAATCGGTACTATCCATTGGAATTATAAAATCTATTATATTCTAAAACGTCCACCAAAATATTTCGAAAAAATATTAAGATTTAAGTGAGCTGGACCAATTTCAAAATNTTTTTCCATTGGAATTATAAAATCTATTATATTCTAAAACGTCCACCAAAATATTTCGAAAAAATATTAAGATTTAAGTGAGCTGGACCAATTTCAAAATACCTCCAAAAATGGAGTTTTTTATGAATAAAAATAGTTTCTTAAACATTTTTTTTGAAAAAATCCCCTCTAGTGACAAAACGGTTTAAGCTTAAAAAATTTGCATCAAAATATTTAAAAAAAATTAAAAAAAAAATTTTAACGGAATCGTAATGATGAGATTTTTGAAGCTGTTTTTTAACTTTTTTTTAAAGATTGGTGTAAGAAAAGCTTGAATAACTGAGCCTAAACTCTTCTGATTTAGACTTAAGAGCTGTCGGTGGAAAGGTATTTTCTCACCCTTTTTATTTCTTTGCCAATAAACTCATTCAAAGGATGAAAGAGAAAGGTAGGATGAACGAACGTCATTCAAAGATGAATTAAGATGTGTTGGTATTTGAAAAAAAAGAATTGGGACACGAATGATTTTTTTTGACAGAAATAAAAACAGTGTGAAAATACCTTTCTACTGAGATCCCATAAGTCTATATCAGAATAGTTTTAGCCCAGTTATTCAAGTTTTTCGTAAATCAAACTTTGAATAAAGTAAAAAAACACCATCAAAAATCTCATTCTTACGACTCCGTTGAAAAGATTTTTTAATATTTTTACGCAGATATTTTAAGCTTAATCTGTTTTGTCATCTGAGGGGACTTTTTTCAAAAAGTTCTTTACGAAACTATTTTTATTCATAAAAAACTTCATTTTTCGAGGTATTTTCAAATCGGTCCAGCTCACTTAAATCTTAATATTTTTCCCAAATATTTTGATGAACGTCTTAAAATATAATAAATTTTGTTATCCCGGCGGAAAAACCGCAACTTTTTTTTGGTGATGCAGTCTAATGTACATACATAAAAACTGAAATAAAAAATTCGTTTGTATTGGAGTGCAATGGGGTATAGCCATTTTGCTGTGTCTGCAGTTACAGTTGCACGGCTATACTCAATCCCGACTCTTGCGTACTCGTTCGCGCACTCTGGGCAAAGTGAGCAACCAATGTGCGAAATGAGGTAACCGATCCGAGTGGAGCCTTGGGTCACGGCAGAGGGAGCTTCGGTGGGGCCACTCCGACTCATTCGATTTAAGGACTCACTGAAGTTTGCAGCATTTGTTCACCAGTAAGACTACGATTTGAGGGCATGCACCTGGAATGTCCGGACCCTTAATAGGGAAGGTGGCTCTGCCCGGCTGGTTGATGTCCTCGTTAGAACGAGAGATGACATCACACTAACCTGCGCCCATGCCCCGACGGAAGAGAAGGGTGAGGTATCCAAGGATCTCTTCTATAAGCGCTTGGAGCTCACGTACGAGCGCTGCCCCCGCCACGATATCATGGTGCTAGACGACTTCAATGCCAG